AAAAAAAAAAAAAAAAAAAAAAAAAAAAAAAAAAAAAAAAAAAAAAAAGAAGATACTCAAATCCAGCAAACAGTACTAGCTTTACCATAGGTACAGGAACAAACGGACCAAACTAAATTACAGATTCTATTGTTATAAACTTGAATGAGTCTTGCTGAAAAGTAGTTATGGAGCAGAGGTGGAATATATAATATTAGAGGCCCACCCCTCTGCTGCAGAAAAATATGTAACAGAAAGAAGTGCTTCTCAAGGCTTGTGGCATTCAAAGTAAGGAAAAGGGCCGGGATTTAGCTCCGTGTTTCCATCACCTGCCTCACAAGTGCAAGGCCCCAAGTTCGATCCTTGGTACCAAATTAAAGAAACCTCAAGAAAAACAAAGTGAGGGAAAAACAAAATCATGAGTAGTGCTCAACACAGGTATAGAAATACATGAAGCCTATAGGAGAACAGGTTTTAAAAGCAGGCTTACTTCAGGTCCTTGCCAAGTTAAATTCTAGGATTGAATAACAATGTAAAAAAAAAAAGAAGAGGGAGGCATCCACAGAAGACAAAGTCTCAGGTAATGGCAGCACTCCCTATGGCACAGCCCCTATGTGGAGGCCATTTCACCAGACACAACCCCATATTTTATCATAGATGCCAAGAACATGGTACCCTGTGGGAAAATATTAATCAATACATTTTTAATACATTAGATAAGAAGGAAAGGCACTTAGAGCAAAACCTGTTGACTGAGGACACCACAACTTGAGGATTTAAAAATTTAGAAGCCAGATGTATCACAGATGAGACCTTCTAAGAAAAGGAGATGGTATACAGAAGTGGCTTTTCCTCCCAGGTTGGAAGTAAAAGACTAATTTTTTGATGGGTGATTTCTCAATTGAATTTAAGCTCACAATTTCTTCACTCAGAAAATTGGAAGTGATTAACATCAAATTATACACAGAAACCCAACCACTTGTGACCTCCCTGCTATCCCCCTTATCCAGATCACAATCATTTCTTTCCTAAATTATTGCAATAGTTTCTCAAATAATCCTCCTGCTTCTACACTGAGTCCCTTAAAGCCTTTTCTTAACAGGGCATCAGGAGTGATCCCCACATACTTCTCACAGGAATAGCTCCCATATGGGAAGAGCAACAAGCTCAGCATTACTTGATGTGTGATGGGACTTGCAGATTAATAAACCTATTGCTGCCGGACATCTAAGACAAATCCTCAATTTTTGCCTTCAGCAGTTTTTAGAAGATGATATTTTTAGCACTATGTGAAATTTACTACCCCATAACCCACCTATTTCTGTGTCCAAGTTGAGGTTCTCAGGCATTTGCTGATTAATAAAATTTCATAATGGCATCGTCAGTCCTTGGATGCATTGTTCGGATTCCCTGTATAGCATTGGTTTATACAATAATTTGAACATTTTCTTTGAAGTTATTTTATAAAAATGAACAGAAAACAGAAAAGTAAAGTACTAATAGACGAAGATTAAAATTATTTTTTAAAAAGATGAAAATTATTAAACATATTAAACACAGGAAATATTCAGCCTCATTAAATTATTTTTACACTTAAGCTAGTCAACTGTTTAGTTTAGAATTCAAGGAACAAATTTCAATTATTTGTACAAAATACAGACATGTAGTGACAGAAAAAATAGATCCATAAAATTATGAATTGGAAATAAGTATCAAGAAGTATTTCAAGGATTCAAATACAAAGAGAAGTTTCATTTCCATAGCATCAATATAGTATGTGGCTTGATCTTTTTTTTTAAGGAAAAAAATCCTGATGCTTAACTTTCTCTTAAGAAAGTCAGTATACAGTCTCCTGTGTAATTTTCTACAAAATTCTCTGAAAAATTACTCTTATCAACCCTCTCCGATGTTAAAATATATATCTATTTTTTAATACATTTCTTCGGAGTACAAAATGTTATTTCCAGCAAGCTGAGAGAGTTGGAATTTAAAGTAAAGGGCTGGGGATTTAGCTCAGTGGAGCCCTGCCTGCCTTGCAAGCACAGGGTCCTGAGTTTGATCCCTGCAACCAAAAACAAAACACAACACAACAACAGCAATTACTCTATGTTCTCATCGAGTGAAATAAAAATTCACCTTCATTGCCCACTCCGAGGAGCGAGGCCTTCCCTTGAGAGAAACCAAAAACATATCACTCCTAGATCATAAACATCTTCTGATTACATCTAGACATAAGTCTTATTTCAGTCATCAAAATATCCAATCATTTAAATATGAGTCAAAATTCCAAATTTCATTTCAAGTTTCTCCCCTTGACAAAGTGCTTGCAGTAAGTGAGAGTGGATGCTTATCAGTTAGCTGGATCTCCGTTTTCCTACCCAGTGCTTCTATTTTCCTTACCCCTACGCTGCTTCTGGATCATCTGGGGTTAAAACAAGGAAAAGAATAGGACAAGACAGGAAATATCTTACCTGACTGGCACCTCTATAACCTAGTTACCTGTAGCTGTGGCACATGTTTAAAGCCAACTCTTTCCAGCTGTTGCTCAGAGCTGACTCTTCTTGTGGTACTTCCTTGGGTATGTAAGAGCCCAAGCCCCATGGAACAGGCTATGCTGTACGTGAAGCATTTACTTTTAAGTGCTCATTTACATTTCCTCCACAGCAGAGGCAGGCAGGTAAACCACTCCTGTGTTGAGATCGCCTCGTCTTTCTGAGCAGAAACCTGAAGTGGTTCCAGACTGGCTCTGTTCTGCTGAGCCCACACCTAATCAATGAGAAATACTCAAAATATTTGTCCTTGCTTTTCGTGGAAATGCAACTAACATTCAGTGTAGGCTGGGTTCTCGCTTGCTCTCTATTTCTCTATGCTTTAGACCAAGAGAGACAGCCCGTTGTTGTGCCCGTTCAAGTTTGTTTATTTAAACTCCATCACCACCTACTTCATCTACTGCATCACCGACAGCTATTTTTAGCACCTGTCTGTATTTGGCTACTCCAAGACTATAAGCTTGACTTCCTTTACTTCTCTCTGAAAAATGGGTCCAATTTTGCATGCATTTTGTAGATTATAAGAAAGTAATAAAATAGACATTATATCTGTATAAATATATAAATCAAAAGAAAAAAGTTTCTATCTTCCTTTCATATCTTTGAAGGTCTAAAGAAAGCTGGAAGACCTTGCAACAGGGCTCTTTGCCCATTGGCTGTGCCAGGTCAAGGAAGAGGATATGAAAAATATCTATTCTTTACTCTTAGACACATATCCAGAGAAGTGATGATGAGTAGGGCAACTGTCTTTGTTGCACCCAAATATTTTTGTGATAACCCAACTTTTTTTGTTTCCCAAAACAGTTTTTCCCAAGTGTCCAGTTCTGGGAAACCATTGTTGTCACAGTAGCTGAATCCTCTCTTCACTTAGAATTTGCAGTTCATAGGTTCGTCCATCTGGCTGGACCCTCTTCCTCTAATAGGAAAGATCTGAATAATAGATGTTCCCTGTAGGTGATCCCATTGCGCCTCAGCAAGGACCAACTCCTGTGCTGTGCCAGAGGTGAAGCCTGACGTCATGCCATCTGTAGTGAGGTGGGGACTAATGCAAGCTCATTATCTTTTTTCTGTCAGTAGGCCTTCCACAGGAGCTTCAAATACATGACGTTAGTTGGCATGAACTGTGACAAAATCTCATTGACATAATATTTATGTGCATAGGTGTCAGGAGTTAGACAACTTGGATTTTAATTCTCACTCTTACATTTACTAGATAAGTGGCCCTAGACAAGTTACCTGAGCAGTGTCACGGGCGGAAGGGGTAAGAATTGCTCACTTTTGCTCCTTAAGGCATCTAAAAATATGTTGAAATTAGATGAAGCCCATGCCAATCTGACTTTCCCCTAAGGCAGAGTGCATATAGGATTATCTGATCAAAGAAAATCCCCAGTTATATTTTTATTGTGCTTCCATTCCCCTAGAGTCTGTCACCAGCAATCCCACAGACTAGTCTAACACAGCCTACATCTCCAGGCTATATCTAGGGGATTCTAGGCAAGAATAAAGGCAGCCAGTCTTGTGGAGTTTTTTTCCTCTCTCTCTTTTTTATTAGTACGTGTTTAGAGTATATGATGTTTACATTTATTGTATGGAGCTCATACATGCAACATCACATCTTAATTCCTTCTGTCATCCCTCTCCCTCCCCTCCTTCATCTCTTGATCCCCTTCCCATTTGGGAATGATCTATGTCTCTACTTCCTATTATCTATCTTTTATTTTGCTCTTTACTTATAATTTGTCTTTATCATGGAAAAGA